GCTGCAATGACAATTTCTCTTTAAAAAACTAAGATCTTGGATCCAAATATTTATCTACCTGTCCTAATCTTGGGTCAATAGAGTGTTTAAAAGAAACTTCAATTTTAAATTAAGTATAATAAACTCTCAGATAAGCATGTATCACCACAAATGAAAGGTGACTAACAGCTGTTCTTTCTGGTCCCTTCTTTACAAAATATCTCTTGATACAGTTCAATACATCTCCAGAAAGATATTACTTGGCCAAAAATTAGCAGCATGACTTGCTTTTATTCCATAAATGAACTGTTCTTCCCTTCCAAAAGCATGGAGGTTGGACCTAGAACTTTGTTCAAAAAGTTTACCAGAGATAAATAAAACTTGACCAAAGAAATACAACAGACTTCTCCAAAAATATACATTTTTCCAAGAATAGACAGGAGGCAGGTACTATTTGTCATCCATTTATTTATTCATTCATATGAATACTAGCTATAAATTAAGTACTAGAGTTACAGAAATATAAAATAGTCCCTTACCCTTCAATCTGTACAGTTATACACCACCAAGCAATCAAAAATAGTATCGATATTATAATTAGTCTGCCCAAATGTAAACGAAGCATAGAAAAGGCACAATCCTATTTTGGGGAGAAGAAAGTACCACAAAAGCGGTACCTTTGCACTAGAGCTTGAAGAGTAATTAGTTAAGCTTAGGCTAATAGGGTAAGGGACCAAGAGACGGTAACTATAAGGAGGAAAAAAGCCTGCATGTAACACTAGAACTATGAGCTGGCATGTCCAGAGAACTATAAACAGTATCTTATGGCACCACATAACTGTCATCTATCCAATGCATTTTTTGCAGGTGCCGATTCTAATTAGAAACAGGTCTTTGGGAATATTTCTAACCTAAAACATTTGTTCCATCCTTCTCTTGTGGGACCACTTTATGCTGATTCAACTCCGTTTAGCATCCTACTTTCTATTTTCTGGGGCTTATTACTCCAAGCCTAAGCTTTCAGACAAGTGGAAATGGAGATTAACCAAATGCCCTAGTTAAGAGCTTCCATAGCTCAGGAAAGAGATGAGGTACAAAGACCTGGAATTTAATTGAAGTAAAATGTGAAGTGCCCTGAGAAACATTCTGTTCAATTTAGCTGTCAATTCAGTATTGTTAAGTATATTTGTAAGTCATTACTTAATCATTTCCAGAGTTGTCAACAAGTGCTAAATTTAAAACCAAAATAGAGGAATTATTGAGCTTGTTTTTCTTTAAAAAAAAAAAAAAAAAAAAAAAAAGCTCAGTTGGTTAAAAGGTCGCTCAAGAGTGTGAGCTCTGAGCAACAGTGGTTCAATTCCTGGCCCGAGCTGAGCTGCTGCTGCTGCTGAGCTGCCAACAGGTGGCAGGATGGCTTAGCTTAAAAAAAAAAGGTAATAACTAAGGATTCTTTAACATCATTAGTCATTAGGGAAATGTAAATGAAAACCACAAGAAACCTCTAGGCACCTAACGTAACAGCTAAAAATTTGAAATAAACAAACAAAAATGACAATACCAAGTGCTACTGGGGAGGCAGAAATGCTCAGACACTGCTGGTGGCAATTCAAACTAGTACAGCCACTTCGCAAAACAATCTGGAAGTTTCTTATAAAGTTAAAAATGCACTTAACATCCCATCCAGCAATCCCACTCCTAGATATTACCCAGGTGAAATAAAAACTCATTTACACAAAAACCTGTTCATAAATGTTTATAGTGACTATATTCCTAATTGCCAAAAACTGGAAACAACCCAGATGTCCTTCAACTGAAGAGTGGATAAGCAAACTGTGGTTGGTTCATCCAATCAGCAATAAAATGGACTGATCTACCAACATATGCAACAGAGATGAATCTCAAATGTGATATACTAAGTGAAACACGCCAGACTTAAAAGGCTACATACTATATGATTCCATTTACAAACCATTCCAGAAATGGCAAAACTAGAGACAAAAAACCAACCAGTGGTTACCAGGGGCTGGAGAAAGGGAAGGTGTGTCTACAAACGGGTATGGCGGAATTTGATGTGGAGAGGAGTGATGGAACAGTACTATACATTGATTGTGGTGGTAGTTACATGACCATGTACATCTGTCAAAGCTCACAGACCTACCTGCAGGCTAAAATTGGTGAATTTTACTATATGTAAAATATATCTAATTTTAAAAATGAAAGAAAAAAAAAAGAAAGGGATCCCAGAAACCAAGAGATAAGACTGAAAAAGTAAAAGAAGTTAAGTCTTCATGAAGGACTCTGCTAAGTTACAATCATAGAACTAGCTCAAACTGCCCTACCCTATTTCTAACAAGATACTGAACTGTTTTTCAGACAACAGAACAAAACTGCAAGTCATGCAGCCGAAGCATGCAAAGAGGTGAGAATTTTGACCTCCAATTACACCTGGAATCAGTTTCTCCCTCTACCCCAGAACCAAAGGACCGGGACATGACAGGGTCCTAAACGCCAGAACCCTTTCAGAGGCTATGTGTCGATTGTCCAGAAAGATCCAGGAAGACCTGGTGCTGAAGTCCCTTCCCCTATCTTACCACAAATGGCCAGGCTCCAAAGCCCTCCTATGGAAAACTGCCCCGCCAGCACTTCCACATACCAGCCTGTTCCCCTTAAGTCTCGTCCTGAACCCTGGATGAGGGAGACAGATGAGCTTTGCTTCCTGTCTCCTTGCAATAAAGCTTTTTTCTTTTCTCAAAAGCCAGTGCCATAGTATTCGCTTCTGTGTGTGTCTGGCAGTGAGCCCTTGCTCGGTAACAAAGTTTTAGATTTTATCCTCAAAGTAACAGATATTACTAAATGACCTAAAGAAGGGGACAGTCACAGATCAGTTCTGTATCAGAAAAAACACTGACAACAGTTATAGACCAGAGTGAGAGGAAAACAGGGGGCAACTGGGAGACCAATGAACCAACCACCTCAGTAATTTAGGGGATACATTACCAAGACCTGACTAAGGCAGAGACTGTAGAGATGGACAAAGAAAATAAAAAGCAATAATTTAATTCTCAAGTTTCTAGCACTAGTGAAAACTAACCAAGCTAGTATTGAGAAAAAGAGTTTAAACAAGCTAAATTTAAATGCCCACTGGGACATTCAAATGCAAACATCTGGTTAGATATACTGGTCCAGAGCTCAAGGGAATAGCCTAAGATGTAGTTTATATTTGAGACTCATCAGGGTATTTGCAGCCATGAAAATATAAGGTTAAGATCATGCAAAGGTAGAATATGTAGAGTGAAAGGTAAAGAGAACCCTGGGAATCATTCTGCACAACACCAGTATTATGGGGTTCATGATATAACATGAGTATAAAAAGAACTGGCTTACTGAGTATGCAGCAGGGGAATTAGAAATGGTTACAATTTTACTCTAGGTCTCTAAACCACTTTATGCTTGGCTTCTCTGATTTTATCTTTGGCTTGATCACCCTGGGAAAACTGAGGCAGTTAAAAAGTTATCACTGAATCCCAAGGTTTCACTTTCTACTTTACATATTATTGACATTAAGAATATTCAGCAAATAAAGGGAAATAATCTACTGAATACACTTACTTTGTCAATTAAACACAGAGGCAGTAAGAGGGGTTAAATGATCCAATTCAAATACAGGTCAACTTAACTCATACAGCCCAATAACTTTACCTTGGTAGGTGAACAAATGACTCCATGGATGCCTTAAAGGATCTCTGATACCACAATGAAGTTATCAGGAAATGCCATTGGATAGATCCAATGATTCTAGGTAATTAGTTCTTAACCAGAGATATGCACCAAAATTCTTCAAGAAGCTTTCTCAAAATGCCTATCTTGCTCAGGCTCTACTTCTAAAAATCCTGATTCAGGAACATTCAGGGGTAAGGCCCAAACTACTACATTTTTAACAGTAGATTCTGATGTGTGTGTACACACACACACACACACGTGCGCGCGTGCACTCTAAATATACCAATTCCAAGTTGTAAAGCAACGATATAAAAGTTGGTTCCAGGGTCTACATGGAGTTCTAACTGGAAGCTTCTAAACCACATCCTAATCCTTGGGAATTGCCTCCTACTGAGAGCATACAAACATACATTTTCCTGATCCAAACTCGAAATTCTAAGCAAGCCCATGTAAAATACTACGAATTTTTTGGCTTTGGTTAACTAGCTTCTCAGCAGAATTCAGAAAAAGATGGTATAAGAAAAGGCTGGCCGAGGGCGCATTGGTTAAGAGCTGGCTCTGAGCAGCAGGGCCCTGGTTCGGATCCCACATGAGGGCCAGTGACAATGCCCTCGACAGCTAAGATGGTGAACAACAGCTCGACCTGGAACTGAGCTGCTGTGAGTCACCGGCAATGGCGTAGGCTACAGCCCCTGCTGCAGTGGGCTGCCATAAGCTACCATGAGTGGCCAGCAGCCAGCGTGAGAGGCCAGCAGCCGGCGTGAGCTGCCAAGAGCCTCCGTGAGCGGCCGTCCAGAGGCTGGCGACCGATCTGCCTCACCTGGGAAGAGCGCAATGATAATACCAACATGGGTCAGTGAAGCGACATCCTCCACATCTAGACTGAAGAACAAAAAGGACAGCAACTTGTCTGTTCCCCTTCCCTGATTCCCCAATGCTGTCCCCCTCCCCCCAATTCTCCAAGAAAATCTTAAAAAGAAAAAAAAAGGCATGGAAAATGAGTCACTGTCTATTGTTTAATTCCAATTCTCCATTTTATGGACAAAAGTACCAGAAAACCTTGATTAATGTCACCAACTCAAGCATTAACTTCAACTAGTATTTAACCAAAACCAGATCTAACCTGCTATACTGGAATATTCAGATTCTACTTTTTCAATTACCAAAATTTCCAAGATTCCAATTTTCCAATTACATCATAAACAGTATGAATCAAAACTATTTACATATATTTATATATATAAATAAAAAATAATTACCCAAGAATAACAAACAATTTTCCCACCAAAATTTACACTTACCCATCTCTTCCTTTACTGACAATTTTTACTTCAAAATAATAAATCCCACAGGCTGCTGGTATTGGATGTGTGGCACGAACTGATGCTGCATCTTTCGGGGTTTTGCCATGACCTGCATACAAAACAGAAAGGGAAAAAAAATCGAATGAGATATTCAAATGAAAATCTTCACAAATAATTCAAGAACAAATATGGTTTTCAGATGATATATCCATTTATGTTCCTATCAGCACAAATAATTAGACTAATTAAACATTTATCATCACAATCCAATATGCAAAAAAGTCCAAGTTAGCCATGGAACTCTTCATACATTACTAGTTTCAATAAAATTTCAGAATCTGAATACACTGAACCTAGCAATCCTTTATGAAAATTAAAGTATTTTAGGGTAGACTATATTTTTAGGAGAAAAAAAGGCCTCACTTGAAGAACATAATGAGAATATGATCTTAATTTTATTCATCTAAATTTGCATATCATTTATAAAATTTTTCTAAACAACACTCTTTTGCCAAATGGCCTGCTTTTTAAACCAGAAGCATCTGTATCAAAGAGCATATTTTTAACTTAAATTTTATACAATTAGAGTGAATTGGCAAAATAGCTTTTTTACTTTAAGAATTTACAACTGACATATCATTAATTCTATAAAAAGGCTGATCCATAAAATTTCTTTGGTCAATTACAGCCTGAGAAATACATCTAATCTCTAGCTGTATTTTCTTTCTTTTTAAAGAAAGAAATATAACACCATATCATTGCTGACATTGTTAGGAAATGTTAGATGATGGCTTTTAAACTTTTTAAACTATATAGCTATTCCTCAATTTTAATCCCAGAGGGTTTCCTTTACTGACAATCAATCATCTCCCTTGTCCCTCGCCCAGGACACCAATTACCTTGAAAACTACCATGTGAACAAAATCAAGTAAGCAAGACAAAATATGCCCATAAACTACAAAAGAATAAAGGCAAAAGCTGAAGTAGCTGGTCAGAAAGTACTCAAAGAGAGTAAGTGAGACAAGTCTCCACAATCCCCAAAAAGGCTGTATGAGAAACAATACTCTAAATCATTATTCAGGTGTTTTAGTTAGATATGCTTTACCCAATACAAACTTATGCCATTAGTCTTTCAGTCATACTATATATAACAATACTTTCATGGGTAGCAGAACTTCCCTCCTCAAATTTACCATAATTGTTTTAAAACTGAAAACCTTCTTTTAAGTTAAAAATTATATCTTAGCTGTATAATAACCATCATAAACCAATGAGATCATATCTTCCCTGACCACATACTTTATCAAATTACCAACACAGACCCTATCATTAAACAGTTAAGTTTACACTGCAATGCAAATTAGCACATGTTCACATGGCCCAAAAGAAACTGACTGAACTCAGCCACTCCTTTCTATTACCATGAAAACGATGTGTCCACAGATGTCTGAAGTATATGTGTTATGAGCAGAAGTAAGTGACCACTGAAGGTGATAAACTTGGCTAGGAAGATAAAAATAGAAGCAGCAATATACAGATGCCCCTATAAAACTGCTTTGACATATGTAGGAATAGATTTACACTAAACAAAGCAGAAGAAAAAAATAAGAGCATAAATCTGCAGAAGGACACCATTTGCTTTTAAAAAAAATGGACATTTAATAAATTATGGTTTCAGGGCCGGCCAAGTGGCTCAGTTGTTTAAGAGCTCACTCAAGAGTGTGAGCTCTGAGCAACAGGGTCACCGGTTCGATTCACGGCCCAAGCTGAGCTGCCGCTGAGCTGCCAACAGGTGGCAGGATGGCTCAGCTAAAAATAATAATAAATAAATAAATAAATAAATAAATAAATTATGGGTTTCAGCAAAACATATTTTTCTTAACAAATAATCTTTTTCAGTAAAAACATGTTAAGATAATTGAGTTGCCTGGGAAAAGGTCATATAAACTAAAAGCATTTTTAAAAGTTGGACAGTTAAAAATAAATCCAAAGAAAACTTTGACTAACCCTGGAATCCTAAGACAACTAAGCTTTTATATATGGTTTTGGTTTTTTTGGAAGGGAAGTGATCGAAAGTTTTAGGGATAAAGTAATCTCAAGGTATGCTTAATAATAATAAATGATAGTTAACATACATTTAATATTATGTTCTAAGAGCATTATATTTATTAACTTATTTAGCATTCGTAACAACTTATGAAGTAGGTATTATTTTTATTTCACAGTTGGAGAAACTAAGGAAGATAAAGAAACTCGCCCAAGGTCATACTGCTGTGTGAGAATTCCAAACCAGGATTTGTGCTGGGCTTTAAATTCAAGAAGCCTGAGCCAGTGCAGCTCTGAACCCACAGGAAGGATTTAGTAACAATGAGCATTCTGGGATCACTTCACATGCATTCCTATCTCCTATCCTTGCTACTTTTATGGGAAGAGAAAGGAAATACTTAAGGCAGACAATCTCTCAATAGTAAGTGCTTTTGTATAGATTTTTCTTGTTCAACATCTGTGCAATAGGTATTATTTAACCTCATTTTTAAAAATGAAAAATTTTTAGGTTATATAATTTATCCAAAATTAGAATCATGTGTTAAATCCATGTATAAATTAAGATCCCCTACATTTTTCTGTTATGCAAAAATAACTGTAAAAAACTACACAAACATAAATCTTCAAGTTCCATTATATTCATTATGCTTTACTAAGACACTGTAGAAAAATTCTGTAAAATAAATGTTCAAAGGATCTGGTTCATTTCTATATTAAATTTATATTTAAAGACCTAGGAAAAAGTTTATGTATGATTAAAAGGATTCATACTGTTTCTTAGAAGAGACTAGTTTTATCAGAGTAAAGGGTCTATTTCTTTTCTTTTTTTTTTAAAGATTTTATTGGGGGAATCGGGGGAAGGGAAACAGACAAGTTGCTGTTGTTTTTGTTCTTCAGTCTAGTTGTGGAGGATGTTGCTTCACTGGCCCAAGCTGGCACCATCATTGCGCTCTTCCCGGGAGAGGCAGATCAGTCGCCGGCTTCTGGACGGCCGCTCACAGCGGCTGCTGGCCGCTCACGCTGGCTGCCGGCTACACACGGTAGCTTATGGTAGCTCACTGCAGCAGGGGACTGCAGCCTATGCCTTCGCCGGCGACTCACAGCAGCCCAGCTCCAGGTTGAGCTGTTGTTCAGCATCTTAGCTGTAGAGGGCAGTGTCACTGGCCCTCACATGTGGGATCCGAACCGGGGCCCTCTGGCGTCCCAAGCCAGCTCTTAACCAACGCGCCACTCGGCCGGCCCAAGGGGCCCATTTCTAATAATGCTCATCAGCAGGAAGTTTATTACCTTAAATTCTGTGTTGACTAAAAAACAACTTCACACTACCAAAGTGTAAACTTTTAAAAACACAACGTCTTCAATGTTAAGTGTTTTCTACATGGTTCAGGAAGAAAATATATGTATTGCTTCAAAACTCTAAGGCTAGCGAGGTTAGCTCTTTCTATTCAAACAACCTGTAGATGCATTTCACTGAAATGAAAAGGGTGTGAATAAAGCCCAGCCCCATCTACCTCCACTCTCCAACATGTGGCCTAGTGTCTTCCTGGGAATATAAATCAGCCTTCCTTGTATCACCATTCTTCAGTACACTAAAATTCCTTCTTAAAAGCCTTCCATTTTAGCCTGTGAAAAAGATAAACTTCCTGAAAACCTTGTTTGATCTTGCCCTCCCCCTGCATTTTTCCACCTCCTCCCTCTGCAGCACCCACACCAGCCAGGCCAGTCTTGCCCAAGTGATTCTCTGACAGGAAAGCTCTACCCTTCCTTCTCAGCCTGGTTTAGGTCCTACTCATCCTTGAGATCTTAGCTCAAGCTTTACTTCCTCAATTATTCTTTCTCTACCCTCTCTGCCTTAGTCTAACCTCTTTTTTATTATATGCCCTCATAGCAACATATATCTTTCCCATATAACATTAACATGCTTAACACTTACTTGTGATTATTTTGTGGTTTTTGCATTTTAATTCCTGGACATTTTTGCATTTAACTCCTACTGACACCCACCCTAACTTCCATCATTCCTTCCTGGAGCCACACTCTGGATTCTGACATCACCTGAAACTATTCCACCTCAAAAATATTAAATTCTCATGAAGTCTGTTCTGCTACAAAACACACTTTTTGAATACAAATTACTTCATATGCACTTGATAAATACAGGAATGATGTCAGCATAAGTCATTTAGCTCATAACGCAACTTTTCCCAGTACATTAATGAATGAGAGAAAATTTTAGCAATATACAAAAGGCCGTAAGTCAAAAAGGCTGGGAATCCTACAGAAGTGCATTCCTATGATGCCCAATGATTAGTGGCTTCCGGAACTGCCACCCTTCTCACTATATTAAGCCATCTTGGGAAAATTCAAGTGCAGTACAGATCAAAAAGTGCTAAGGTATTTCCTCTTTGTTTATATCAATATGGACTCGTGCATATTTATTTTAAACTTTGCTTTATAATTCAGTACTACTTTATTTTGTTGCTCCAACTGTTCCCCCTTTAGCTATTTGGAGCTTTTGCAGTTGGCTCCTCTGGCACTCTGACATACTTCCATTATGGGTTGTTGTTTTTTTTTGTTACTTTATGGCTCTATAAGATGCTAGAGGCTCATCTTGTATGTTTCCTGCCCCAATCCTAGAATCAGTCATTTCTCCAAGAAGCCCTAGCTCTTTTTACTGGCAAATGGCATTAGAACCCAAGTTCAAGGTACTAGGTATGCTCATTGTTACTGGGGTGTCATTACTTTTAGGTCCTCTCAATGACAAGAGCAAGGAAATACATGTATGTATACTAAACCCCTGTATATACACATACCTGTATTTCCACAGGTAATCATCTGTGTCAATATTAAACTAAACATAAGTTCATACTGATGTCTCCAACTCTAATCTATTATCACATGGATCACGCTAACCTCCTCCCTTTCCTTATCTGTAAAATTCTACTCCAGTGGTAAGAAACCTAGCTCCCACCATCTGCCATCCATTTATTTGTTCAGTTCCAGTATTAGTGTATAGCAGTACCAAAATTAACTCATAGCCCCATGGAATATGACTTAATCAACGAATTCAGTTCTGTT